GGCCCATCGATCCAGCCTGTCCAGGTCCCTCTGCAGAGCCTTCCTACCCTCGAGCAGATCAACACTCCCGCCCGACTTGGTGTCGTCTGCAAACTGACTGAGGGTGCACTCGATCCCCTCGTCCAGATCATTGATAAAGATAGTGAACAAGACCGGCCCCAAATCTGAGCCCCGGAGAACACCGCTCGTGACCGGCCGCCAACTGGATTGAACTCCATTCACCACAACTCTTTGGGCCCGGCCATCCAGCCAGTTTTTTGACCCAGCAAAGAGTACACCCGTCCAAGCCATGAGCACCAGGACAGTCACATGAACCAGGACCTTCTCCTCCCCTTCTCAGCACCCCTGATGTTTAATGCTCAAGGAACCAGACACAGAGCCTTCCCATACCTTCAAAATCCACATCTCCAACCAGCCTCGATTTGGCAGTGACAGGATCCTGCACTCTCGTTATCCCCACGTCAATAACTGCAGCTCCTTCTTTGATCATGTCAGCTGTGATCAGATTGGGTATGCCTGCAAGAAGAAAACAGAACCACACACTCATGGTGGTGCTGAACAGCCCCCTGCTCCCCCTCACCCCATCTCCATGTTATGTTTTCACCCACCTGGGCCTTCCTACCTCACAAAACAGTTGGACTCAGTCTTAAGGGTCTTTTCCAACCTAAATGATTCTATCATTCTGTGAAATGCAAGTCCACCCACAGTCGCACAATCCGGCGCTACTCCTTGACGTTCAGCTCAATCAGGAATTGGAGTGTTTACTGATAACCTCAGAGTGTAAAGAACTGGAATCCCCCCCCCCGAGAGTTCCAGCAAAGCAGCTGGGACCAAAGCATCCTCTCCGAGTTGAAACCTTAAAGCTTGCATTTGAAGTTGGGGTTGTTTAGCCTGGAGAAAAGGAGGCTGAGGGGAGACCTCATCGCTCTCTACAACTACCTGGAGGGAGGTTGTAGCGAGGTGGGGGTCGGTCTCTTCTCCCAAGGAAGAAGCGACAGGATGAGAGGAAACGACCTCAAGTTGCGCCAGGGGAGGTTTAGATGGGATATGGGGAAAAATGTCTTTACTGAAAGAGCAGTCAAGCATTGGAACAGGCTGCCCAGGGAAGTGGTTGAGTCCCCATCCCTGGAGGTATTTAAAAGACGTGTAGATGCGGTACTGAGGGACATGGTTTAGTGGGCATGGGGGTGTTGGGTCAACAGTTGGACTCGATCTTAGAGATCTTTTCCAACCTTAATGTTTCTATGATTCTGTGAAGTCTGTGGCTGTGTTTGTTCGTGCAGCTCCAGCAACATTTCTGCACCAAGTCAGCAAGCTGGAGCAGTGTCCAAGACCACCGCAGCCCAGCTCGGCAGAGGCACTGGCTTCACCCAGGGGCTGTAAAACCTGCAGCGTGACAGGGGTGGGGAGCAGCTAAGCCGCCCTTTCAGGGTGGGGTGTGTTTGTCTGGTTCCTGCCAGATAGTGCTGCCTCAGTTGACTGAGCTGAGGAACTCATTCCCACCCTCCGCTTAGTTTAACTCTTTCATGCGAGCCTTCCTCTGGTCTGCTGACCGCCTTTGGTGATTTACACATCTTATCTGCCAGCAGCACTTCTGCCATCATTACGTGCACTGATGCCTTCAACACCATTTCTAATCCTTCCAGCACCTTGTCTCTTCACACCCCATTTCCAACCGATGTTTTCTCTCCTCCCTCCCCACAGGCTTCACACCTGGCTTCTGCTGCCAAACAGACACCCCGAATCAGCTTGACTCCTCTGCTGATGCGCTACCTCCATGCCAAGGGTACGGCCTGGAGAAGAGCACACCTCCAAGCGATTCCTTGTGCTCTGAAGATGGCGCTGCAGCTGTCCCTCGGCATTTTGACTGTCTCTAGGTAAGCAGATGCTATCTTGGTTTTTTTTTCTCCTCCCCACATAAATACAGAACTGTCTGCATGTATAACAGAGCCTGTCTATAGCTGTTCTCTAGATCTGATCAGGTGCTCGCTGGCATACCAAGCCCTCCTGCCAGATGTTATTTTACATTTCAAAGGCAGAGCTACAAACAGCTCTGCTTGTAAGATCAAGTATGTGGCTCCTAGGCTTAATCGCAGGATAAACTGGCTGGCTCAAACAGCCCCTCGCTCGCTGTCCTAGCCCTCACCTCGGGCAGCTGCCGACAGCCATGAGAGAACCAGACTCTCCCACGCTGCCAGAGCTGCTTCAGATAGGGAGGCCCCAGGACATTCAATACCGACAGGATTGTCTCCTGCAAGCAAGGATTCCCATCAGAAACACCACGCAAGCTGCAGCACAGCACCCTCTCTGCAACTTGCCTGTGCTGTTCGAGTCGGGTCTTACCTGCTGCCGCTACCACAATATCAGCACGGATTGTGTGTTGCTTCAGCTGCTCCTTGGGAGTGTAGCGGTGGGATATCGTGACCGTGGCATCGCCTGCAAGAGTGGTTACACGCAGCTTTTTAGTTCATGTGTACTACCCAAACCCAGCCCCTTCTCTAAATCTTCCCCTTCAAAACCACTCGTGTATTTATCAGGAACATCAGAGCCCGATGACAAACCCCGGGGAACAGCCTACAAAGTCAGAGGGGAGGGATCTGGCATGGAGGAGGACAAGGACTCACTGAAGAAGGCTCCAAAATGTTACAACAGATTATGTGCAGAGCTAACTCTTCGGCCTTGACCACAGCGCACGTGATGGGCCGGAGTCCCTAAGGTGCTCCTGGGACTAGTTTAGGAGCCTAAAGAGGCCAGTGTGACAGGCTGAGGGCTTCCTTCCACAGCTGCCTGGCACGCAGGCTCCGCGGCCACCAAGCTCCTACCTCCCGGGCGCTCGTGCCTGCCGTCCGTATGCAGCAACATGGCGATGGGCATGCCCACGTTCTTCGACCTGCCAGCCACCACCACGTTCTTCCCCAGCGTTGGGATGCCTGCAGAGGACAAGATGGAGTCTTAAAACAAACACAAGCTGGAGTTATGTCAGATAGCAGCCAAATACTGCAGCAGCAGCAGCTTACCAGTTCTCTTAATGATCTCCCACACCCCCCACGGGGTAGCCGGCAGCATGGAGTACTGGTCGAGGCACATGCGCCCCACGTTTATCACGTGAAAGCCATCAACGTCTTTGTCTGGAGTCACAGCGTTGCAAATCTTGCGCTCATCAATATGTTCTGGAAGAGAACAAAAAGCTTTAACCCTAGGGATCAGCCAAAAACCTGCTCTTCGCAGTCAGCCAGAGCCCCGACCTGCTGCACCAGCCCCTTCAGAGTTTGGAAGCTTCAAGCTAACTCAAGACTTCCAGCAAGCTCAAGGCCACCAGCTGCCAGCAGGAGGGGACTGGAACGGCTTTGGGACTACAGCATCGCTGATGCTGAGAGGGTATTTTTAGGCAGCCTCAGTGTCACAACCGAGTTCAGGCTTCTGGCTCTGGAAGCTGATACGCCCTACAGGAGAAAAGACTTTCGCGACCCCCAGCAACTTAACTCGTACAGGCAGCTACAGAATCTCACAGAATCTCACAGAATCTCACAGAATCTCACAGAATCTCACAGAATCTCACAGAATCTCACAGAATCTCACAGAATCTCACAGAATCTCACAGAATCTCACAGAATCTCACAGAATCTCACAGAATCTCACAGAATCTCACAGAATCTCACAGAATCTCACAGAATCTCACAGAATCTCACAGAATCTCACAGAATCTCACAGAATCTCACAGAATCTCACAGAATCTCACAGAATCTCACAGAATCTCACAGAATCTCACAGAATCTCACAGAATCTCACAGAATCTCACAGAATCTCACAGAATCTCACAGAATCTCACAGAATCTCACAGAATCTCACAGAATCTCACAGAATCTCACAGAATCTCACAGAATCTCACAGAATCTCACAGAATCTCACAGAATCTCACAGAATCTCACAGAATCTCACAGAATCTCACAGAATCTCACAGAATCTCACAGAATCTCACAGAATCTCACAGAATCTCACAGAATCTCACAGAATCTCACAGAATCTCACAGAATCTCACAGAATCTCACAGAATCTCACAGAATCTCACAGAATCTCACAGAATCTCACAGAATCTCACAGAATCTCACAGAATCTCACAGAATCTCACAGAATCTCACAGAATCTCACAGAATCTCACAGAATCTCACAGAATCTCACAGAATCTCACAGAATCTCACAGAATCTCACAGAATCTCACAGAATCTCACAGAATCTCACAGAATCTCACAGAATCTCACAGAATCTCACAGAATCTCACAGAATCTCACAGAATCTCACAGAATCTCACAGAATCTCACAGAATCTCACAGAATCTCACAGAATCTCACAGAATCTCACAGAATCTCACAGAATCTCACAGAATCTCACAGAATCTCACAGAATCTCACAGAATCTCACAGAATCTCACAGAATCTCACAGAATCTCACAGAATCTCACAGAATCTCACAGAATCTCACAGAATCTCACAGAATCTCACAGAATCTCACAGAATCTCACAGAATCTCACAGAATCTCACAGAATCTCACAGAATCTCACAGAATCTCACAGAATCTCACAGAATCTCACAGAATCTCACAGAATCTCACAGAATCTCACAGAATCTCACAGAATCTCACAGAATCTCACAGAATCTCACAGAATCTCACAGAATCTCACAGAATCTCACAGAATCTCACAGAATCTCACAGAATCTCACAGAATCTCACAGAATCTCACAGAATCTCACAGAATCTCACAGAATCTCACAGAATCTCACAGAATCTCACAGAATCTCACAGAATCTCACAGAATCTCACAGAATCTCACAGAATCTCACAGAATCTCACAGAATCTCACAGAATCTCACAGAATCTCACAGAATCTCACAGAATCTCACAGAATCTCACAGAATCTCACAGAATCTCACAGAATCTCACAGAATCTCACAGAATCTCACAGAATCTCACAGAATCTCACAGAATCTCACAGAATCTCACAGAATCTCACAGAATCTCACAGAATCTCACAGAATCTCACAGAATCTCACAGAATCTCACAGAATCTCACAGAATCTCACAGAATCTCACAGAATCTCACAGAATCTCACAGAATCTCACAGAATCTCACAGAATCTCACAGAATCTCACAGAATCTCACAGAATCTCACAGAATCTCACAGAATCTCACAGAATCTCACAGAATCTCACAGAATCTCACAGAATCTCACAGAATCTCACAGAATCTCACAGAATCTCACAGAATCTCACAGAATCTCACAGAATCTCACAGAATCTCACAGAATCTCACAGAATCTCACAGAATCTCACAGAATCTCACAGAATCTCACAGAATCTCACAGAATCTCACAGAATCTCACAGAATCTCACAGAATCTCACAGAATCTCACAGAATCTCACAGAATCTCACAGAATCTCACAGAATCTCACAGAATCTCACAGAATCTCACAGAATCTCACAGAATCTCACAGAATCTCACAGAATCTCACAGAATCTCACAGAATCTCACAGAATCTCACAGAATCTCACAGAATCTCACAGAATCTCACAGAATCTCACAGAATCTCACAGAATCTCACAGAATCTCACAGAATCTCACAGAATCTCACAGAATCTCACAGAATCTCACAGAATCTCACAGAATCTCACAGAATCTCACAGAATCTCACAGAATCTCACAGAATCTCACAGAATCTCACAGAATCTCACAGAATCTCACAGAATCTCACAGAATCTCACAGAATCTCACAGAATCTCACAGAATCTCACAGAATCTCACAGAATCTCACAGAATCTCACAGAATCTCACAGAATCTCACAGAATCTCACAGAATCTCACAGAATCTCACAGAATCTCACAGAATCTCACAGAATCTCACAGAATCTCACAGAATCTCACAGAATCTCACAGAATCTCACAGAATCTCACAGAATCTCACAGAATCTCACAGAATCTCACAGAATCTCACAGAATCTCACAGAATCTCACAGAATCTCACAGAATCTCACAGAATCTCACAGAATCTCACAGAATCTCACAGAATCTCACAGAATCTCACAGAATCTCACAGAATCTCACAGAATCTCACAGAATCTTTTCCTCACGTCCAATCTAAACCTCCCCTGGCGTAACTTGAGGCCATTTCCTCTCGTCCTTTTGCCAGTTCCTTGGGAGAAGTAACTGGAGTAACTTGATGGAGTAGCTGCATCAACTTCTTTAAGCTGCATCATGGCAGAGTGCCACCTCTCATGTCACAGGATAGCCCCTGTGCTGGTACTCCTTCTGGCACACACAAACCCTTAAAAGCTTTACGTAAAAGTGGAACAGATGGAAATCTAGCTACTCACCAGGTAGAGGAAGCTGTACTAACAGGCCATCCACATTGGCATCGTTATTGAGTCTGCTGATCAAATCCAGTAGCTCCTCTTCAGTAATAGAAGCCGGCCTGAGGATGGTTTCGCTGCTGATTCCTGCGCAATCGTTGAAAGCGCTGCATTAGAGAGCCACGTGTACACAAGTGGGAGAGCAACTTTCTCAATCCCTGCGGATTTAAGCTGCCCTGTTTCATTGCTCTACCAAATCCAACAGGCACACACCAAGGACTGTATGCTTGGTGTAACAACGAGCACCTTCCAGGCTGGAGACCTTCTCAAGTCTTGCGAGTTACAGTTAAGGACCATTAGTATCGGTCTAACGACCTGGGAAAGACTATTTGAAAGCAAAGACCCTCCAAGCGCAAGGAGGGCTTGGAGAAGCTTAACTGAAGCGTGCTACAATGAAGATGCAACCGCATGTCCTGTGGTCCCTCTTGACACAGTAAGAAGGGGACATTAGCCTAAAAGGCTCAGCTCCAGAGAAGGCTTCGGCAGCATGGAACCCAAGGAAAAATTAAACCATTTATTGCCCCTAACCCCTTTCAGCACATTTTCTCCAGAAGCACACTTGGCTAAACACCGAGCAGGACCTCGGCTTGCAAGATTGGAAGGAGTCAGAGGGAAGCAAGGCTGCTGAACGACGACTGCATCTCCGGCAATTGAGAAAAGGCAGCAATCAGAGCCCTATCTGTGCTTTACGTGGCCCTAGGAAGGCTGCAAATCCAAACTACAGAGCTTGATGTTGCCCTAAAGGATTCAAGTGGCACAATGCACACATGGACCATGTTTATTAACTACCTCCCAGTACAACAGTGAAGGCAAGCGAAAGAGTCACAGCAAAGGCTGGGGCAGACGTGGACTGCCATGCAGCCGAGGTGAAAAGCTACCAGATGGATGCATCCCAAAAAGCTTCCCCCAGCCTCCGGCGTAGAGGACTCCCAACTAAAGCAAGATAAAACAGTCACTTGCTCCACTTTTTTCAGAACAGAGCGCAAGACATACCAACGTCAGCAGCCGCTTTGGTTTTGTTCAGTACGTAGGAGTGACTCGCTGGATTTTCACCGACGAGAACGACGCTGAGGTGAGGTCTCTTGTTTCCAGCTGCTACCCACTGCTCAACCTCGTGACGGGCTTCCTGTCTGATCTGCCGGGCCAGCTTCCTTCCAGAAATCACAACCGCATCATTGCTGCAACAGATAAAGCGTTACCAAAGCAGTCAGCATCGTTAGCACCATCAAATCCAAGCTCTGGGCAACACAGACCAGGAAAAGTGGATGCCAGGGCAGAGAAGGCTCTTCTACTCAAGCTCTGTACAAGCCTATTGCACCTTTACTCCAGATCACGTGAAGCGGCATATTTCAGTCTTCTTTCACAGCTTTGCTGCCCAAAGCCGGGATCAGCAAACAAAACTGCCAGAGGGACCAACTTATTTGTGCAGCCTGAGAAAGCATACGCACTGTTCTTCTCTGCAAGGCCAAGAGTCCGCGTGTATTGTTCACCTGGCGCGTGTTTCAAGCTAAGATACTATTAGCTTCCACTTTTAGAAAGCCAGTCACCCGTTCCTTGCGAAAGCATGACGGCTTCGCTACAAAGGACTTACACGAAGCAGAACTCACCTCACTTAAGTGGAGCTTCCACCACCAAAGAGGTCTATCGGGTAATTCCGGCTTGTTGGACGCAGCGCGGGAGGCACAGCGTGCCGTGCTTCTGTACCGAGCGCTGTTCCCGGATTTCCTAGTTCCCCACAAATTCCTCGGCGAGGCCATCGGCCCATCTAGCACAGCACGCACCTTGCACGAGCCCATCTCCTGCCCTCCCCCGCTCGGGTAATTGCTGCCACCGCTACAGTCGTGTCTTCAGGCTGTTAAAACTGGGCTTGGGGGTACACGGTTTCACCCCCTCTCACGGACTCCAACGTCTAGCTGGAGTAGAAGGAACATTTGGCCCTTCGAACCACATCAAAACAGCTCCTCGCATACATTTCTGGTCTAAATCGGTAACGGGAGTATCCAGTCACTGCCAAAGGCATTCCAGGCAACTGGACACCCTGCAGTATATAGAAAGGCTGGCCTGACCTACAGCTAGCTGGGAGGCCACGGCTGCCAGTCCCCGCTCACACCAGGCTGTCCACACTCCCTCACACTTGGCTTTTTTCCTTTCAGATTATCACTTA